CGCGACTACGAGCTTCACTCTCTTGACTTCAGCACAGCTTTCCGGCAGGGCAGCCTGCACGAGGAGATCTGGCTGTGCCGCCCACCTGGCTTCACTGGGTCGTTTGCTCCTGGTACCCAGTGGAGCCTCCGGCGGCCAGTCTACGGTCTCCGCCAGGCGCCCCGTCAGTAGCACGACACACTGAGGACTACACTTGCGGCTCTTGGGTTTGCCCCGTCTACAGCCGACGCGTCGGTGTTTTTGTGCACCGACACCTCTTTGCCGCCGTTCTACATCCTCGTGTACGTCGACGACTTGGTGTTTGCCACTGCTGACACTGCTGGACTCGCCCACGTGAAGTCCGAGCTGCAGAAGAGACATACGTGCACAGACCTGGTGAACTGCGCAACTACCTTGGCTTGCAAATCTCTCGGGACAGAGCACAGCGCACCATTACCCTGACTCAGTCACACATGGTGCAGCAGGTCCTTCAGCGCTTCGACTTCACGTACTCCTCGCCTCAGGCCACTCCTCTGTCTACTCGCCACTCGCTCTCAGCTCTGTCTTTGGATGAGTCCGTAGAGCCGAGTGGCCCGTACCCAGAGCTTGTTGGCTGCCTCATGTACCTGATGACCTGCACACGACCTGACCTTGCATACCCTCTTAGCATCTTGGCACACTACGTTGCTCCTGGGAGACACCGACCAGAGCACATGGCTGCAGCGAAGAGGGTGTTGCGCTACTTGTGCAGTACGTCGGGCATGGGGCTAGTGCTTGGAGGGCAACGTCTAATGGTCCTCACAGGTCACGCAGACGCTTCTTGGGCTGACGACCAGGCTACGCAGCGGTCGTCACAGGGTTACACCTTTAGCCTTGGCTCCGGCTCTAATTCGTGGCGGTCTTTCCGCTCGTCTTCTGTTCTCGGCTCCAGCTGTGAGGCTGAGACCTACGCGGGGGCCATGGCTGCACAGGAGCTACGCTGGCTCACCTACCTGCTGACTGACCTAGGAGAGCCGCCTCGTTCTCCTCCAGTTCTGTACGTAGACAACAAGGCCATGCTGGCCTTGTGTCGGGAGCACAGACTGGAGCACAAAACGAAGCACATTGCTCTTCGCTACTTCCTTGCTCGTGAGCTGCAGCAGCTTTGTTAGTTGCGCCTTGCTTACGTGGCGTCTGAGGCCAACACTGCTGATATCTTTACCAAGGCACTTCCACCTTGTGATCATCAGCGCTTCTGTACGATGCTAGGTCTTGTGCCTACTTGGCCTCACTTGCTCACTTCTTGACCTTGCTTGTACTATGATCTTTCTATACCTGCACTTGCTTGTTTACCTTTATATATGATCTTGCATGTGAACTGGCCTTGTGGCCTTGCTCTTGTGCTCGGACTGTGTGGTGACATTGTGATCCACCCTGAGCTTGCTTTGCTTTGCTTGACTGGTCTTGTGACCTCTTGTTCTCCCCCACTTTGCCTATGGGGGTGTGTCAAACTCATATGCTATAGTCCGTGTAGGCTGTAGTGGGGTAGACAATATGGGGTACAACACTATTAGGTTTTCCTACTTGTACCCACCTGTTTGCTAGTTCATTCATTCCTTCCTCATTTCTTCACAGTGTAATCATGTATTGCTTGAGCAGTTTTGGTGGTCGTGCTGAAACATGGGGAGGAAGCTTGGTGAGCTGAAGTTTCACGTAGTGGGGATGTAAGGTGGCTGATCGTTGGGCTAATGGTCGAGTATGTCTTATGCCACGCCAACTTTGTCGTGTTCTATTGCAAAGCTATCCTCCCTTTGGAAAATGTTGATAAGAGCTTGCTGTTTAGTGTAGTGCTGGCAAAATAGTGGCAATGTCTGCTTCTCGTCGTCAGAAAGTGGGAACGAGAATGACTAGAACAACACTAGTACAGAGTTTGTATAGCAAAACCTAACCGGGCTGTACCCCATAAGGAGTACCCCACTACAGCCTAGAGCATAGTTCTAACACACCCCCATAAAGTGGGGGACAAGCAAGAGAACGAAACAAGGACAAGCTCAAGGTAGATCAAAACGTCACCAAACAATCTGAGCACAAGCAAATGGCCACAAGGCAAGTTCACATGCACAGTTATATATAGAGGAACACAAGCAGTACAGTGATCACAACCTAGCAAAAGTAAGCATGCCGGTATAAGTATATAGATCACAGTACGAACAAAGTCAAGAGGTGAGCAAGTGAGGCAAAGTTGGCACAAGGCCTAGAACAGTACAGAAAAGCTGATGATCACAGGTAAAGATATCAGCACTATTGGCCCGAGAGGCCACGTAAGCAAGATGAAGCTAACCACACTGCTGCAACTCTCGAGCAAGGAAGTAGCGCAGAGCGATGTGCTTCGTTCTTTGCTCCAGTCTGTGCTCCTTGCACAAGGCAATCATGGCCTTGTTGTTGATGTACAGAGGTGAAGGAGAACGAGGCGGCTCTCCCAAGTCACTCAGCAGGTAGGTAAGCCATCGTAACTCCTGTGCAGCCATGGCCCCTGCGTAGATCTCAGCCTCACAACTAGAGCTGAGAACAGAAGACGAGCGGGTAGACCGCCACGAAACAGAACCGGAGCCAAGGCTGAAGGTGTAACCCCGTGACGATCGCTGCGTAGCCAAGTCGTCAACCCAAGAAGCGTCTGCCTGACAAGTGAGGACAACTCGAGCCCATCCTCCAGGTACTTAAGGCAGCCCACAAGCTCTGGATACTGGCCACTCGGCTCTACGAACTCATACGAAGGCAGAGCTGAGAGCGAATGACCCGTAGGCAAAGGAGTGGACTGTGGTGAGGAGTACTGGAAGTCGAAGCGCTGAAGGACCTGCTGCACCATGTGTGATTGAGTCAAGGTAATGGTGTGCTATGCTCTGTCCCGGGTGATCTGCAAGCCAAGATAGCTGCGCAACTCACCCAGCTCTGTGCACGTGTGTCTCTTCTGCAGCTCCGACTTCACGTGGCCAGTCCAGCAGTACCAGCAGTGGCAAAGACCAAGTCGACAACGTACACGAGGATGTAGAATGGTGGCAGCAAAGTGTCGGTGCGTAGAAACAGCAACGGGTCAGCAATAGAAGGAGCAAAGCCAAGAGCCCCAAGGGTCGTTCTCAGAGTGTCGTGCCACTCGCAAGGCGCCTGGCAGAGACCGTAGACTGGCCGCCGGAGGCTCCACTTGGTACCTGCAGGAAACGACCCAGTGAAGCCAGGTGGGCGGCGTAGCCAGATCTCCTCGTGCAGGCTGCCCTGTAGGAAAGCAGTGCTGAAGTCAAGAGAGTGAAGCTTGTAGTCACGCTGAACCGCTACGTGTTGTAGAACCCGAAGAGTGGCCATCTTTGGGGTAGGGGAGAAGGTCTGGAAGAAGTCAACTCCCTGTCGCTGACTAAAGCCTCGTGCAACGTAATGCACCTTGAAGACAGGCGGAAAACCCGACGGCCACTTCACCCTAAAAATCCACATGCCAATGACAATGTTCGCCCCAGGAGGGGGAATCTCGTCGACGTAAGTGCCTGTGGACTTCCAGGATGCCATCTCTGCGTCCATGGGTGACTGCCACTGAGAGGAGTAGGGACCCTCTATCGCCTCTGCGTAAGAGTGCGGGGTCGAGATGTCTGGTGCATCCGGGTCTCCCTAAGGTGCAATCAGCATGGACACGAGATGAGGTACAGCAGCTGCAAGACACTCAAAGTCCTCCTGCCTGTCCTCAAGGACGTCCCTGCCAAGAGCACACTCACCCCCGACGCACGGAGGACAGCCAGACTCAGACTCAGCAACAAGACTAGCGGCGTAGTCTAGACGACAACGAGCAGCAAAGTCGACAAGCTCAACAACTAAGGCAAACGCAGCAGTGGACTCAAACGACGGGTCAGTGACTCCAGTGGCCAGGAGACGCGTGACAGTAGGGCTGGCAGCATGAAGGGAGTCAGACTCCAGGTCCGGACCCGCAGCAAGGGAGGACGCAGGAGGAGACGGCAGAGGGACATGAAGTGGAACAAAGGAAGGACGAAGTGCCATCTGGTGCGTGCTGGGGACAGGAGGAGGACGCGGACGCGGAACATGACGACCAGTGCGAGCACCGCGAACAGGTGACGAAGGACGAGACTCATGCTCACGACGCTCCGCAAGACCTCCTGTCGGCCCAGTGTAAGGAGAAGGACCAAGCAGTGGAGAGGCTAGCTGTAGCTGCGACTGCGACTGGACAGGCGGTGGACACAGTAACGGAGGAGTAGGACCAGTAGAAGGCGAGAGACCAAGAACCTGCTGAAGGAGTGGAACGAAGTACGGCCGCGGCCGTGCAGCACCACCAGCACCACCACCACCAGCAGGAACAGCTCCAGCGCTTCCAACTCCAACTCGTGCACCACCACTAGCTCCAGCACCAGCACCACCTCTTGCAAGAACAGCTCCAGGTCCTCCAGCTCCAACTCGTGCAGCACCACTAGCTCCAGCACCAGCAGCACATCCAGTAGGAACAGCTCCAGCGCCTCCAGCTCCAACTCCTGCACCACCACTAGCTCCAGTACCAGCAGCACCTCCAGTAGGTACAGCTTCTGTGCCTCCAGCTCCACCTCCTGTAGCACCACCAGCCCCAGCAGCTCTAGGACCTCTAGTATGAGCACCTCCGGGACCGGCGGCTACAGGACCTCCAACAGCTCCTGCAGCAAAAGGACCACCAGCTCCAGTAGCACGGCTCCAACACCGAGCAAACCACTCGCGCAGCTGGGGTGGAGAGAGTGGCTCCCGCCGGGACAAGACACCTGTAGGACCTCCAGAGGACAAAGTACCTCCAGGCTCAGCACACTTAGGCCGAGGACCCCCAGGCTCCACACTCTCAGGCTCAGCACCCCTAGGCTCTGCACCCTCAGACTCAGCAACCCCACGCTCAACACCCCCAAGGCCCTCACACTCAGGCTCAGCACCCCCAGGCCCCGTACCCGCAGGCTCAGCACCCCCACGCCCCGCACCAGCAGGCTCAGCACCCCTAGCAGTACCAGAGTCGACACCTACCTCGAGAGGGTCTACCTGGGACACACCTGAGGGGGCAGGACCCTGAGGGGGGAGGGGGTCAACCGGAGGAGGACCTGGTGCTAGAAAGAGCGGCGGGGGGGGGGGGGGGGGGGGGAGAGGGGCAGTGCGGTAGGGGAAGAGACGGTACAAGGGAACCGACTCATCAAACGTGACGTCCTGAGAGGACAGAACACGGCGCGAGGTGGGGTGGTAAAACTACCAGCCAGGTGCGTTAGGGGGGAAGCCAAGGAAGACGCAGGGAACAACACGGAGAGTCTGCAGGGGAGCCTCCGTCGGGGGGAACTCGGAGGAGTGAGGAGCGGCGCGCTGCCGTCCTTCGACGCAAGGAACGCAGGTAGGGGCAGGCCCCGGTGGGAGGGGAGGGAGAGACCGGGGGAGACCAGTGACAAGGACACGGCAGGCCATACCTCGAAGACGAGGCAAGGAGGGGTGACCAAGGCGGTGGTGCCAAAGGAGAGTCTGGTGTGACAGGAGACGACACGAGCAGGGGGCAGACTCCGGACCAGACCTGGACGCGACAGCAAACACCTGACCAGACGCGGCTACCTGACCAGACGCAGTAACAGGAGGGGACGCAGTTGTCAATGTGTACAGGCTCGACCCAGGCTGACGGGTGAACGTGGCCAGGTGGCGGCCTGTCCGAGTACACGTACAGTGGGTCACCCGCTGACCTCTAGGAGTGAAATGGTCAACCCACACGTCCCGGAGGTCAGCTCCACTCACCAAGTTTGTAGAGAACGAGGGGAGTTGAAGGCCCGACAGTGAGCCAGACGGGACCGCCGGACACAGCAGAACCGTAGAGGAGTGCGCAAGGACAGGGCCCCCAGAGGGGTCCGCCAGGGAGACTGCAACCGACCGACTGAGCGGCGTGAGGGTGGTGCTGTTGCAAAAGAAGGAGCAGGAAGAACCTGAGTTAAGTGTGAAGGTGTGCAAGGCCTGAGCAGGCGCAGAACCTGAGGGAGCAGACTCACCAGCACCTGGAGCAGCAGACTCACTAGCACCTAGAGCAGCAGCCTTTATACCAGGGTCGGGTGGCACACATAGGTAAAAGTTACCCTCAACACTAATAATCACAGCATACATTGCAGCAAGGATAGCATCGTAATCAAGGTCAATGATAGCAACACCAGACTTAAGCAGATCACCCAAGCGGGGGAGCTCAGTGGCGTCAGGAAACTGTGTGCGCCAGGCGTCAGTCAGGCGACCGAAACAGCGCTGCGTCGCATGTGGCAGCCCGCACATCTCCCCACGACGCTCGCCGGTGCGGAGAACGTAAGCGCCGGGACCAGCACCCCCAGACCTCCCACGCCCACAGTACCACTCACGAAGCTGCTGGGGCGATGGGGCCTCACGGGAACGCGGCTGCTGTTGTCGCTGGCCGCCTCCAAAGCCTCCACGTTGCGTGGCTCCACCCCGACCAGCACCACCGCCGCCGCCACCCCCACTGCCGCTGCCGGTGTCACCTCCACCTCCACCGTCGCCACGGACGCCCCCACTCCCGCCACCACCCCCACCTCCACCCCCACACCCTCCGCCTCCTCCACCGCCACCACCGCCGCCCCCGCCGTCCCCTCCACCACCCTTGCCCCCCTTGTCCTTGACACTGTGGCGCCTCCCACTACGAGCAGACGCAGCCCCGACCTCCTCCGTGCCAACAAGGTCGACAACAACAGCAGAAGCAACAGAGGGAAAAAGAGTGACGAGGGAGCACCCCTCAAAGAAAGGGGCGCGAGGGTCACCGCGAGAAGCTCCTACAACGAGTATGCTAGTCTCAGCTGCAAGGAGGCGCTCCTCGAGCAGGTCGACGGTGAGCTCAGTGGGGCAAAGGGAGAGAAAGTGGTCCCTGACTGAGCGAAGAGAGTTAGGGAGACGGGTGAAGAGGTAGAAGAGGGTGATGTACATGGGGGGGGGGGGGGGGGGGTTCTTGGCGCGAAACTCGTAGGGAAGCGCAGCGCAATAGCGGGTGTGACTAGTGTGGAGGTGAGTGATGAGATGAGTGACTGTGGCAAAGGCGGCCACGTTAGGGAACAAGTATGGCAGCATAAGGCGGCTGTGTTACAACACTGACTCAACTGGTAACCGGGTTTAACTAGGGGCCTAGGCTTAGTAGCCTAGGCCAAGCGGGTGTCGAGTAGTTTGTGCCAAGGAGAATTGAAGAAATGGTTGGAAGTTCACCATAGCACACGAGTACATATAGCAACCTAACAAAAGTGAAAGAGGTGCACCACCACACAAGGGAATTACACAACAGCTACACTACAGGCAGATTATACTAAATAGATATAAATCTATTGTGACACACCCCCTATCTGCCTGAAGTGCATAACCATGTGCAGAGCCCCCCTTGAAGGGGTACACCTGTAAAACCCCATTACAGGGCGTGGGAACACCAGCAAGGGACCCCCTTTGAAGCTGACAAGCAGCAACCACCAAGCAGCATCTGAACCACCGCGGTGGAACAGGTGCCCGGCTGCGGTTGAACGCCCCGCAGCTGGTGCACGGTGTGCGAGGAGCACGGGTACGGGTAGCGGGTTCGGGTAGCAACTAGGTGCTGTACGGGACGGGCCGCACGGGGGTGACGGACAGCACGAGACCGGGCAGCACAGACCGGGTGGGGCACGAGCGAGAAGTGACAGCACGGGTGGGGCACCAACGGGTACGGATAGCATGGGTAGGGCACAAACGGGCAGAACGGGGCAGCACGGGCAGAACAGGGCAACACGGGCAGAACGGGGCAGGACACGGGCTGAACGGGGCAACACGGGCAGAACGGGGCAGGACACGGGCTGAACGGGGCAGGACACGGGCTGAACGGGGCAACACGGGCAGAACGGGGAAACACGGGGACAACGGGGCTGCACAGGAAGAAGGGGGTAGGACAAGGGCTGAACGGGGCAACACGGCACGGGAATGGGCACAACACAGGCAGAACGGGGCAGCACGGGGAGATCAGGGCAGCACGGGAACACGGGGGGCAGCACGGGAACACGGAGGGCACTGGGTACGGACAGCACGGGTGATACTGGCGGGGCATAACTGGGTACGGACAGCACGGGTGAGACTGGTGGGGCACAACCGGGTACGGACAGCACGGGCACGTGGAACACGAGCGGACAGCACGGGCATGGGCACGGACACGGGGCAAGTACGGGGAACACGGGCGACAGTACGGGAGACACGGGCAGAAGCACGGGTGGACAGCAAGGCACGCGCAGCAAGGGATGAGAGGAGGAGGAGGCGGATGATGCTGCAGTTGAAATGTCACCACCCACACCCCTTGAACCTCCCCCCCCCCACAGCAGCAGCAGCGACGGAGAGAGAGAGGGGGAGGTGCGGCCGCAGTAGCTGCAGATGGATCACCCACCCCCTGAACCTCCCCCTTACATGAGCCGCCAACCCCACCACTCCCCCTCCCCCAGCCGTCCCCTTCGGGCCAACACCACACCTCCTACCCTTCCTGCTGGATACGGAGCCGGAGATGGGGGTGGGGTGGCAATTGTCGGTGGGGGGGGGGGGCGGGATCTAGGGCAGAACGGCGGTCTGGGTGCAGGTACGGGGTTCGGACGGGTCTCGCGGACGGGGGCACGGACGTCGTGCGTAGTGCGGATGGCGTACGGGCGACGGGTGGAGTGCGGGGTGCCGGTGGCGTACGGGCGACGGGCGGGGTGCGGGTCGCGGACGATCTAGCGCGTGCAATGGCGTAGCAGCAGCTTCTCCCGCCACTCCCACCACTCTCGCCACTCCCGCCACTCCCTTCACAGCAGTTGCGAAGTCGACGGGAGGGCGGGCGGGGACCTGGCGATGGGCAGCCGAGTGCCTCGGGTGGCAGGGATCTGGCGATGGGCGGCAGCGCAACGGGATGGGCGACGGTCGACGAGGCGGGTAACGGGCGGCAGCGCAACGGGACGCGCGACGGGCTGCAGCAGCAGGTAGCGCGGGGCGACGAGCTGCAGCAGGGCACCGCGACGAGCTTATCGTCCTGGCGCTCACGATGCGCCCTACGGGCTGCGCGAATGGATGCGCCACGACGAGGGCTAGTCGTGGGCCCATGTAAAACGAACGGTCCTAAATCGGACCTAGCTCTATACCATGTTACAACACTGACTCAACTGGTAACCGGGTTTAACTAGGGGCCTAGGCTTAGTAGCCTAGGCCAAGCGGGTGTCGAATAGTTTGTGCCAAGGAGAATTGAAGAAATGGTTGGAAGTTCACTATAGCACACGAGTACATATAGCAACCTAACAAAGGTGAAAGAGGTGCACCACCACACAAGGGAATTACACAACAGCTACACTACAGGCAGTTATACTAAATAGATATAAATCTATTGTGACAGGTTGAGGGCAGCAGAGGCATGGGAGGAGTAGCACACAACGACAGCGTCATACAGAGACTTAGCAGTTTTGTACTGGGCAAAGTGCACGCGCTCAGCAAACGGCAGGTGACTACGAACAGCAAGGCGAGCAACAGCATCACGAGTAGTCCACTGCGAGCGAACTGTACTGTCAGCATCGGCAGCAGGTGCAACAGAGGCGCCGGACATGTGATCGAAGAGCGAGACTCCGTCCCTAGAGCCGCACTGAAGATAGAGCTGCAGGTCATCTACCCAGACTTCGAAATTGACCGCACGACCCTCAGCATCGAAGATGAGAATAGTAGGACTAGCCATGGCAGCAGTAGCAACAGCAGCAGCAGTAGGGCAGGGCGTGTTAGAAAACTGAATGATGATCTCATTAAGGAAAGAAGAGGTTTACATAGTTGGAGAAGGAGGGATGAGTTGGATGAGGGCCTTGTCACAATTATTGGCCCTCACCAATAAGTTGGGGTCACCAATTATTGGAGGGGCCAATAATTGAGATAGAGGACCACAAATACTGAACCTCCAATAATGGGGAGCTCAATTATTGGGGGGTCACAATATTGGACCAAGGTTGGGTTGGCCCAACCCCTCAATTAGGGCAAACCCTGATTCTACACCCAAGCTAAGCTTGGGTGCTTATAACTACCCAAGACTTAATAGTCTGAGCATGATACAAGAATAGGAGTATTCTAACACAACCCCTTATCATGCAAAAGACAAGAATGTCTTGGGAAGAAGTCGCAACCCCTGAATCAGCCACTGGAAGAGGGGGGAGCGAGCCCAAGCAGGGGAAGGAGCGAGGAGTGCACAGAGCGGGAGAGTGCCTTGGTGAAAATATCCGCAGGGTTTGCAGAAGAATCAATCTTGCGGATTGTGATGTGACCGTCATTGACGAGGTCACGAATGAAATAGTGACGGAGCTCAATGTGCTTGGAGCGTCCATGGAAGACTGCTTCTTTGGTGAGGTGGATGGTGCTGGCGTTGTCGCACCAAATGGCAGGACATGGCTGGGGGGCGCCAATATCAGCGAGAAGGTAGGACAACCAACGCGCCTCTTGAGCAGCCATGGTGACAGCAAAAAGTTCTGCTTCGCAGGAGGAGAGTGAGATGGAGGAGGAGCGAATGGAGCGCCAGCTAATGAGACCACTGCCAAGGGAGAAGCCATAGCCTTGACTGCTGCGGCGGTCGGGCTGGGAGTCAGCCCATGAGGAGTCGGTGTACCCAGTGAGAGTGGGGGGGGTGGGGCCGCCAAGGGTAAGGGCGTGATCCTTGGTGCCGCGAAGGTACCAAAGGACGCGCTTGGCAGCACGCCAGTGCTCAGTGGTGTGTTTGCCAGTGCCAACGAATCGTGCGAGAACGCTGATCGGGTAGGCAAGGTCGGGGCGGGTGCAGATCATGGCATACATCAGCGCCCCAACAAGTTCAGCGTAGGGGTCAGGAGAGGAGGAGGGTGTAGTGGGTGGGGTGAGTTGATGACCAACGCGAAGAGGCATGGAGATGGGTTTGGCGGTGGCCATGTCAAAGCGTTTCAGCACCTTCTCGATGTAGAAGCTTTGAGAAAGAGAGATGGTGCGCGCCTCCAAGTCCCGAGTGATTTCCATCCCGAGGTAATTGCAAACCTCACCCAGGTCCTTGCACGCAAGCCGCTGCTGAAGTCGATCTTTGACGTCCTGAAGATCGGTGGGGGATGCAGTGGCAAGGAGCATGTCATCCACGTAGACAAGGATGTAGAAAGCGGAGGGCGAGGTGCGGATGAAGAGGCACGGGGCGACTTTGGAGGGGCGGAAGCCAAGGTCCTTGAGTGTGGAGGAGAGCTTGGCATGCCACTCGCGTGGTGCCTGTTTGAGACCGTAGACGGGGCGGCAAAGTTTCCAGACCGTTGAGGGATCAAACGGCGCCGAAAATCCCTGGGGTCGTTCCATGAAGATAGTTTCGTGCATGTCCCCTTGTAGAAACGCCGTGGTAACGTCCATGGAATGTAACAGCATTCCACAGCGGCCGACGAAGTCGAGAAACACACGAACGACCGGAGGGGTGGCTGTGGGAGAATAGGTCTCAAAGAAGTCGGAGCCGTGGGTCTGTGTGAACCCTTTGGCGCAGTAACGAGCCTTGTAGACGGGAGACTCGCCGGGAAGCAGTTTCACCCGAAAGACCCATTTTCCTTTGACGACATTAGAGGAGGTGGGTCGGGGAACATCGATGAAGGTGCCGTTGCAGACAAAGGAGGATATTTCCTTGGCCATAGCCTTGACCCAAAGAGGGGCATTGAGGCACGCCATGGCTTCTTCGTAGGTGGTGGGTTCGAAGATGGTAGGCACTCCTGAGAAGAGAAGAACGGGGATGCCGGTCATAGTGCAAACAATGGGGGCACGAGAAGGTTGGCAGAGGTGGAGGTAGAGAAGCTTGTCATGCGTGTCCTCAAAGAGAAGAGGGGAGAGAGGGGGGGGGAGGGAGGAGGATGGGAGGTGGTTGCGCAGAGGGAAGGTGAGGGCGGGTCGCTGGACTGCTGCTCTGCTACTCAGCTGCTCAGCCGCTCGGCTGCGCTGCTGTTCGGCTGCTCGGCTGCTCTGCTGCTCTGCTGCTCGGCTGCTCTGCTGCTCGGCTGCTCTGCTGCTCGGCTGCTCTTCTGCTCGGCTGCTCTGCTGCTCGGCTCCGCTGCTGCTCTGCATTCCTGGCATGCTTGTTGTCAGTGACTCGGCTGCGAGGGGGAGCCAGAGCTGGGTGAAGGTGACGACGACGAGGGAGTGCACTGGTGGGGAGGGAGGGGGGACTGAGGATAGGGGGGGAGGGAGTGCAGGACAGTGTGTGTGGAAGGAGAGGGGGACCAAGGATGGGGTCAAGGGAGCGGGTGTGGGGGCGTGGTTGAAGAACAATGGATGGGACAGGGCGAGAAGGAGGGGGGGGGGGGGGGGGGGGGGGGGGCAGAGGGGGAGGGGAGGAGGGGGCGGGGGATGAGTGGGGGGAGGGAGGGAGGGGAGAGGTGATGGAGTGGGAGGGGGAGGGGGGAATGTCGGGGTCAAGGATGTCACCGGAGGAGTCTGAGGCGGGGGGATCAGAGGGAGTGGGGAGAGCTGGGGTTGGGGGGATTACCGGGGGAGGGGGGAGAAGGGGAAAGGAGGTTGTGTCAGTCCATCGGAGAGGGCGGGAGGGGAGGGTGAGGGGGTCAGTGGGGGGTGGAGAAGAGTAGTAGGGTGTGGATTCATCGAAAATGACATCACGGCTGCGAATGAGGCGTCCTGAGGGGGGGTGGAGGAAGAGATAATCTGGGGAGGAAGGGTTGTCACCAAGGTAGATGCAAGGAAGGGTTTTATCGGCAAGTTTGCCAGCTGCGCGAGGGCGGTCTGTGGGGTGAATGAGGACATGGGCTTTAGAGCCCCAGACACGAAGAGGGGAGACATCGGGTTTGGTAGAGGTCCATAGCTCAGTGGGGGTGGTGGAGGGACGGCTGGGGTGGGGGTAGAGGTTAGTGAGAAGTGCGGCATGGAGAAGTGCATATCCCCAAAGGGAGGGTGGGCAGGAAGCGTGAACTAAGAGGCACCGGGCCGTCTTGGTGTTTTCGCGGATATGGCTTTCGGCTACACCGTTTTGCTGAGGGGAGTGGGGAAGGGTGTAGGTGTGGCGAATGCCATGGGCGGTGCAATAGGATGACTGTGTGTGATTGAGGAACTCACCAC